GGTAAGCCAGGAGGCGGGGAGGACAGATCCCCTGGGCTTTGCTGGGATCCCTGTGCTTTTCCATGGAGATGTGCTGGCAGAAGGGTCGAGGCTTTTGAGGGTCCTGAAGGAGACTGGATCAGCTGCACTGTGGCTTTGCCTCCCCTCACGCAGGGGTTTGTCTGTGTTGGCTGAGGGGGAAGCTGCCTGTTCAAGGGGAACAGCACACCATGGGAAGCTTCCCCGGGGGAAAGAGACCTCCTGCCATCCCCAGGGAGAGGGCAGCTGTGGAGGGGAGGGAGAATCCTTGGAGAGGATTGCAGAAAGCTCTGGCTTGTGAAAGCCTGGGCTGTGAACTCAGAGGAGCAGAAGCTGTTCCAGAAGGTCCTCCATGATGGGAAGCTGGGACTCAGCACCGGATACTCATGGCTATAGAGGGAGAACAACCACTCACAATCCCTGGACTGCAGGCAGGACCACACTGAGGGTGAGGGGCCCTAAATTCCATACAACCAAGGTGAGCAGGATGGAAAGCAGAGGGGACGTGGAACTCCAGGATGAGGAGAGATGTTGGTCCACTCGGTTGTCTTGGCAGGTCTCCCAGCCTCTTCCTCCATGCTCAGCCCTCCCTGGCACCCTGCTGGCACTGCTGTGCGTGGTCTCCAGCAGCTCCCATTGGGCTGCTGCTCCCTGGCCCCTCGGGCTGGGCCGGGCCGGATGCGCTGCCTGAGCTGTTCCTCCCAGACGCACGAGGGTGCTGAGGCAGCTCTTCCCACGGGAACAACCAACAACCACGTGGTGCAGTGGTGCCACAGTCACTTCTGCTTTGCAAAGCCAGAGTAAGTTTGAAAAAGATTATCCGAAGCCAGAAGCAGCTCGATCCAGGGAACTTGTGCAAAGTGGATCACAATCCACCAGGAAAGGGGAAAATGCATGGACCCAACTTGGAGCAAAAAGAACACAAGATAGAAGAAACCTGGGAGCCAGGACAGCATCAAAACTAGGTTGTTTTCAGAGGTCCCAGAGTGGACATCTCTGTTTTCAGAGGTCCCCCCAATGGACATCTCTGTCTTGTAGGTAGAGAAGAGAGGTAATTTTGGACAAGAGAGGTCCAAAGAGAGGTAATTTTGGACAAGAGAGGTAATTTTGGACATGGAAATGGGCAGGCGCTTTCTAGGTGAACTCATAACTTAGTAAGATGTCAGTGGAGTTGGAGGGTAGGGGATAACCTTTCCTTAATTAAGTGGTTTCAGCATACTCAGACCTATGGCAGGATTAGTGTCTGACAGGGATGGAGTTGCTGTTGGATTTTTGATTGGAGACTGATGTGCTTTCACAAGTCCTCATCCAAGGATTTTGCCCCTTTCCTGGCTCATTCCCACTCTCTGCAAATACCAAAACTGAGCCGTAGTGGGTGGTTTGCCCCCTGCAGTATTATTATCACAGAATCACAGGCTGGTTTGGGTGGGAAGGGACCTCAAAGACCATCTCGTTCCAACCCTCCTCTCCAACCTCCACCTCTCGTTCCTCCCTGGGCAGGGACACATTCTGGAGGAGCCGACCCCAAAGCTGTGCAGGTCTCCAAGGCTTGGTGTGGGACTCGCTGTTGTCTTAAACTCCATTGCCTGTTTGGCAAAGAAATATTAGGATTTTCATTGGAAATGTCCCTCAAGTAGGGGCAGTGCCAGTGGGGTGGGCTGGAACCCAAACTCACGACCCAGCAACTCCTGTTCTCCCGCAGCTGTGGGATGGGCTCGGGGTGGGGAAGCCGTGGGGCCCCACGAGGCTGAAGGCAGCCCTTTCCTCTCCTCCTCTTCCTCCCCGTTCCCATGCAGGACAGACATGTGTGTGGGGAAGTGCAGCCGGATTGTGGGTCCCTGCCTGCTGGCCCTGGGCACGCTCTCCACGGCAGCCAGCATCCTCCTGCTCTTCCCTGGCGGAGCATCCAAGTACCTGTTGGAGGGGCACATCAGCAGACACGCCGTGGCCGTGCCGGGTGTCTGGGGAGGCGGCATCCCCGTGAGTACTGTGGTTCACACCCGTCCCTCCTCACAGGCCTGTGGAGCAGGGACAGAGGGATGGAGCAGGGCAGGTGGCTCCTCTTTTTCCCCCAACCTCACTTCTCCTTCCCACAGGTGCTGCTGGCAGCGACCCACATCACAGCATTGGGGTGGCGATGCGCCGGCTGCTCCAACTGCGGCACCCGCTGGAATGTAAGGGACCCCTGTGCTAAGGCAGCGTCCAGCAGCATGGGGGGATGTGGGGTGGGACTGGCAGGGTTCCACCTCTGCCATGGCCCCACAGTGGGATCCTCCTCTCTCCTCATCCCATGGTGGGATATGGTGGGTGGCCCCTCTCCCACGGCAGGTCCTGGCATGATGTCCCTCTCCAACGGCCCCATGGTGGGACACGGCACAGAACCTCCCTTTCTCATGGTCCCATGGTGGGATGCTGTGTGGTGCCCCCCTTCCCAGAGGCTTTCCATGTGGGCTGGCATGGACTCAGTCCTGCCAGGCTCTGCAGGGCAGACCCCTGCTTGTCCCTGCTCCCTGCCCATTTCCCTCCCTGCCTGTCTCCACTCCCTGCCTGTTTCTGCCCAGCCCAGCAGAAAGCTGTTCCACGCTCAGCCACAGCTGCTGGGGATTGGAGCCCCTTGAGTGAAGGGGAGGGGAGTTTTCCCCCCTACCAAACATGCTGACAACCAGCAGCTGTGTTGTGGAGCCCACCTGACTTCCAGTGTCCCCTCTGCCCCCCCGGTGCTCCCCACAGGCCTTCATCTCCACTGTGCTCTCCAAGCTGGCATTCCTGGGCGCTGCCGCCTGCTTCATCCTCTCCGGGGTGGGTTTGACCAACGGCCCCCTCTGCTTCTACAACGCCTCCGAGCACAGCCTCGGGCACGGGGCCCTCTGGGGTTACCCCTTCCCAGATGCCGCTGGCCAGGGGCCTGATGCCAGGTGAGGGGCTGAATCACCAGTGCTGCCTCATCAGCCTATTGCTAATTAAGTCAGTGTTAATTATGGAGCTGGGGTGGGTGGGCGCTTGCAAGACTCCGTTGCTCGAGGGGTGCTCACCTTCCATGAATTTCTACATGGTGCTTTGCACCTCCATCACCCCCTGACCCCACTCATCCTCGAGCTGAAGGACGGGATGTCTGGGACACCCTCCATGGCGGAAGGCGATGGGACTGCTGACCTGCCACGGGCAGCATCCTGCATCTCCTCCCCTCCCCGTCACACAGGGCTAGGACCTACCTCTATGATCGGCACACCTGGAGTGTCTGCCTGGAGCCAGAGGGCATCGTGGCCTGGAACGTCACCCTCTTCTCCGTCCTGCTGCTCGTCAGCGTGGCCGAGATGGTGCTGTCCTTCCTTCAGATCCTCAACGGCTGCCTCGGCTGCCTCTGTGGCCTCTGTGAGGGCAAGTAGGGACCGAGGGGGGTGCCAGGAGGCTGCGCTCGGAGGAGGCGTCACCCCTGGTGTCACTTGGCTGGTGGCACACGCCGGGCTGGAGGTGTGGTAGGAACTGTGACACCGGCCCACTGCAAGAGCCCCGTGTGAGATGGACAGAGTCCCCCGTGAGGGACAGACACCCCAAGTGTTGGACCAGCATTAGTGGGGCTGATGTGCCAAGTGCTGCCCCCACGCAGAGCCCCCCAACCAGGCCATACCACTTCCCTCCTCCCTGGAGTGGGTGCCCTTGGGGCTGCCAGCCCTTTGGGGTTGGAAACCGGCCAGGTGAGGGATGGAGGTGAGGACTTGGCTCATGGCACCCCAGTGTGAGCCCAGTGGCTTCCTCAGCTGCCTCCCCCCACCCCAGTGCAAAACGTGGTACGACGGTGTTCGTAGAGACAAGAGGAAGACTTATCGTAATTTTTAATAATCAGTTCGTATTTATGGCAGTTGGGCTGGTGTTTGTCACCTGCAGAGGGCAGGAGAGGGGAAGGAGACCAGAGAAGCCGAGCTGGGCTCTGGCTGGAGCACTTGGATGGAGTCCTGCTGGAGGAAGCAGGGCTGGAATTGAGGTGTAGACCCCCAAAGTTCACCCCCACACAAATGTCAGGAGCAGCTGCTGCTCATCCCCAGGAGCAGGACCCCACTGCTGTGCTTACAGGGCGGTCCTGGTTTCAGTGCATCCTCTACTCCCCTAAACCTTTACAGGGACCCAGTGTGGGCCTGAGCCTGCCCAGGCTGGGAGGGTGTTTGCCCCCCACTGACAAGGGCCAAGGAAAGCAGTGATGGCGACAGCAGATTAAAGAAACCAAAGCACTGAGCCAGATTAAACAGTAACTGGGCCACTGTGGTGGTTTAACCCCATCTGGCACCTGAACACCACACAACCACTCCCTCACCCCCATGCTGTGGGATGGCTGAGGAGAGAGTCAGAGGGTTGAAAGTGGGAAGACCCATGGATTGACATAAGAACAGTTTAATAATTGAAATAATAATAATAATAAATTGTAATGTAAAGAAAATAACAAAGAGATAGATACAGAACCCAAGACAGACAAGTGATGCAGCACAAACATCTCTTTATCATCAGCCCAAATCCAAAACCCAGTCCCTTCCCAGCTGTGATGAAGGAACTGAACTCTACCCCAGCCCAAACCCTCACAGTGACTTCAGGGAGACTGTTGAGAAAAAGCATTTTCATGAAAAAGGAAACAATTTATATAACATGAAACATTTATATAACATATAAAACATTTATATAACATAACTATTTATAACAACGGGAGGAAAACTCCCTGGAGCAGGGTGATGGTACCAAATGTGGCACAGCTGGAGCATCGTGTCCCCCTGATCCAGCACACAGGGAGGGCACAGGGTGCCCCCAGCTGCCTCCTTTCGGCATTGCTGTTGCTCCCCAGCATGTTTCTTGAGTGGCTCTTGCTGGAAAGGAGCCTGGGGCTGGGCGGGGGGCACAAGCCTCCTCACCAACCGATATATAATTAAAAAAAACAAAAAAAAAAAACAAAAAAAAACCAAAAAAAACCAACAAAAAAACCCACAATAAAAGTGAGATCAAATCCGGCCTGGAGACGGTAACACTGCTCTGCGTGACGTGGCCGTGCTGGACGCGGGGCGGGACCCCAGGCTACGGGTTGATGTCCCGGGATCCGGCACTAGAGGGGTGGGAGGAGCTGACCCGGGGGATCACTAGGATAGGAGGCAGCTCCTTCGGCCCCGCTTCCCGTGGCGCCGGGGGCGGCGGCGCTGGCGGGGAGCAGTGGCTGTCACGGGGATATTCTGGAGCACGTCGTGCAGCGTGAACATGCTGAAGGAGATCTGCTCGTACGGGGACTTCGTCCCGTTCTCGTACAGGCAGGCGAAGGCGATGGCCGTGCCACCGGCCACGGGGGCCTCCGTGTAGGGCAGCTCCATGTAAGCCAGGTCTGAGTAAGCGCTTGGACCCTCATAGATGACCCAGGGCTCTGTCCAGCTCTCTGCATCCCTGGGGAAGGTGCTCAGGTGAACCCCCATGTTGACCCGCGACATGGGGCTGGTGGGGTGGGAGTAGAGGATCCAGGTCGGCGCTTGGAAGAAGGGAGTGGGGCTGGGGGTTGCTGCAGGGTCCCCCTGGGCCACGGTGACACTGTGGGCTTGCTGGTGATGCCCTGGGGTAGGACAGTCCTCATCAAGCTCGTCTGCCTCATGGTGGCTGCCAGTGGCCACAGTGGGCAGCTCATCATCCACTGCCTTCCAGGTGGGCAGGTACCGAAACCCCCGGCACATCCTGGGGAGCAGCCGTTGAGCTGAGCCCCTGAGGGGCAACACAGAGTCCTTGGAGGTGGTGGGGACATACACAAATGGTGCTGGGAAGCCGATGACACTGCCGTGACAGCCATGGGGGGGCTCGACCAGCCGCTGGACCAGCTGTCCCCTGTGGAAGACGGCCCCGTCATCCGTGCTGAGCGCCTGGACCCTGAAGCCCAAGGGGCTGCGGGCGTTGCAGTACAGGACGTTGGATCCATCCTCCTCATCCACCGAGACCAGCTGGCACTCACCCGTCTGCAGGTTGGGGATGAACTCCCCGAAGCGCCAGCCGCGGCCGTGGTCATCGCTGTAGAAGGCAAAGGAGTGCGGGGTGGTCTTGCAGAGCTGCCCGAAGCACTCCTTGCAGTCGATGTGGTAGCTGTAGGCAGGCACCAGCAGCCGGCCGGAGCGCAGCTGGATCCCATGCCCAGGGCCCAGCGCGAACGTCGCCCAGTCTGCGGAGCGGAGAGGGGATAGGGTGAAGGTGCAGTGGGCAAACTGTGATCACCACGGTACCCTGCCATGCCTGTGGAAGGGTCTCCCAGGCTTCCCCCATCCAGCCAAGCCAGATGGTGGGTTGGGAGGGCAGCCACGTGCTACCTGGTTGTCCTCACGCATGGTCCTTCCCCATGGCTATGGGTAGGTCTCCATCTTCTTCCTACCCCAAGCACTATAGATACTCCTCCATCTCCTCTCCCCTCTACTTAAGGTTCTCTTCCACCCTCTTGGAAGCCTGTGGGCTTCCTAGGCCACACCACGGGTGGCTCCAGGAGGCCAAAACTTACAGTCACATCCTTGCTGGCCATCCTTCCCCCTCCCCAGCCCTCTCCAGCTGGGTACCTTTGATGGCTGCGCCAATGACCTGCTGTGTCAGGTCTGTGGCCGCGCTCCAGCTCAGGCCCTGGTCGGCGCTGGTGACACAGCAGAGGCGGGTGACGTTCTGGCCAGTGACAATCTGGTAGGCTTCGGGCGTCCTGCCCAGCACCGTGATGAAGAAGAGGAAGAGGGTGCCCGTGAATTCATCGTAGAGCGGGCAGGGGTTCATTGACCGGTGGTGCTGCAGAGTCGCCGTCTCCAACACACGCATGTCTTCCCACTGCCCAGGGAGAAGGAGGAGGAGAGAATAGAAAGGGACGAGACAGGTGAGGAACATCCCACTTTTTCGCCCAGAGAAGCTGTGGCTGCCCTGTCCCTGGAAATGTTCCAGGCTAGGTTGGACAGGGCTTGGAGCAACCCGGTCTCTAGTGGAAGGTGTCCCTTCCAACCCAAACCATTCTGGGATTCCATGATTCACTTCACCCATCCCAGCCTCCCCCCTCCACTCAGCTGTCTCCCAGAGCTCAGTTGTGCCACACAAATACAACCCCCCGACTGTCCCCATGTCCCCAGCCCCGCGTGTCCCCTCAGCCCGGGGTGCACCCCCGTCCCACCTCCACGTAGCTGCCGTAGATGGTGCCGCGGCGCAGCACCAGCAGGTTGGCGTGGGCATCGTCGGCGCTGAGCCGCTCCTCGGCGAATGCCAGCAGCTTGGCCACGCAGGGCAGGTAGAGCAGGGCAGGCACACGGTACGTGACGCCGTTGGATTCCCTCTCAAAGAGCACGGTCCGGGCAGGGAAGTGCCGGGAGCCCATGGGGTCTGCGGCAGAAGGATGCAACCCCCACCACGGTGGGTTGGAGAAGGTGGGGGATCAGCTGCTGGGCACGACCAGGGGCACTGGGTTGTCCTTGGAAGGGTTGGGGATCTAACTTGGTAGGTTTGGGCTTGGGGAAGAGCCAGGGAGCAGGGGCTGAGGGGCAGGGCTGGGGTAGAGAGAGGCTGAATCTGCACTGCTCTGGTGAGGAGTCCCTGAGGCTCAAAGGGTGGCCATGCCTTTCGGTACCAGCAAGGAGGCTGCCCTGGGGACCCCAAAATAAAGTTAAATACAATTAAATTGATCTTCAAGATGCTCTTCTGGGAAATCAAGGCCAGTGAGCAAAGGAGCTCCCTGCTCCCTTCAAGTGGGCGCTGGGAGGGCAGAGCCCACCTCTGCACACACAGGATCCCCAGATCAGCCAGCTCATCAAGAGGGGGTCAGGGAGTGTTTTGTCCTGTACCTCTGGTGCCTCCAGCACCATGGACCCAGTGGGCTTCCTGTTCCCTCTCCTCTGTGGGGGAAGCCTGGGGTGCCCAACACAGATCGTGGGGTCCCCGGCCAGGCTGTCCCTGCAGCAGAGGGTGGGAGCTGTCCCCAAGTGCCCTTCCTTTGGGGACAGCAGGAGTGCAGCGACTCCACGGTCAGCTGTCCCCAGGTAACATGTTCCTATGTGTCCCTGGGGATCATTACCACAGGAAGAGATAGGCACCCCACTCCGGGCACAGCTGGAGCAGCCAAGAGTGACTTTCACCTGTGGTTTAATCAGGAGCTTTTGCTGCTCTAACACCCCCCAGAGAAAGCAAAGGCACTCACCAGGTCCTGCTCAGCTGGGCTATCCCCTCTGTCCCTCGGCCCCAGCAGCTCCCGCCGTTGCCGAGTTCCCGCAGAGCCGTCTCCTCACTGCTTGGCTGCCACCCTCTTCCCTTGCAGGGTCCCCCCACCGATGGGTCACGGGGCTCCCGCGGTGGCGGTGGCCAGGAAAAATCCCTGAGTCAGCAGTGGCACTGCTGGTGTGGTGCCCATGGCACAAAGGCACCGTAATTGGCCCGGGCAGAGCCGGCGGCCCCGTGGCTGCTAAGCCTCCTTCTTTGGACCCCCTGGGGATGGGATGCGAGGGGAGCCATGATGGGGGAATTACATCTCCTGCCTCAGTTTCCCTCCTCCTGCAGGCTGGGAGGTGCTGCAGCCCATGTTCACCATGGTCCACCCTGCTGTGAGCTCCCCAGCCTGGGGGTTGTGGTCTGGAGGTTCCCAGCTCTCCCAGGACCCTCAACCTTCCCAGGACCCCCAAATGTCCCAGGACACCCAGCCCTCATAGGACCCCCAAATCCCACCAGGATCACCAGCCTTCCCAGGCCCCCCAGCCTGCCCAGGACCCCTACCTGCACACAGGTCAGCTACTAAGAAACTATTTTTACACCTATATTCCATCTCTGTCATCAACTTAGCTTAAAGGGGCTTGACAAAATTCACAGGGCAGGTCATAGGTCAGAAGCTCCACGGGGAAAACTGACGCAGATGCTGCAGAAGTGCCCGTGAAGCCCCCTTGGATGGCCCAGGGTGACCACATGTGGCTCCAGCTGCTCCACCCTGCTGGTACAAGTGCCTCCCAAGCCTTGGGTTAAGAGGGTTCCTGGAGCAGGGAACCGTGAAAATACTGTTAATCTTTGTTGTTGCTGCTGGACACCTGGGCTGTGAGGAGCACAGGTTGCAGGGCAGGTTAACCCCTGCCTCAGCTGCTTCCCTGCTAGGTTTAAACAGAGTCGAGGAAAATCCTGGGTCTGCTTCCCACCCCACTCCCCAGACAGCTTCCCAGCTGGAGCTGCTGCCCCACAGCTTCACCCCTGAGGCAACACTGCCAACCAAGCAACCCCAGATCCATCCTCCCCATCCCATCATCCCTGGCCCTGCTGCTGTGGCAGTGCCATGAAGGTTGGTTGAGATGGCAGCACCAGCCCCGTGGATGTGGTGTCACCGCTCGTCACCAGTTCCCAGCACACCCCTCAGTGCCAGCAGTGCCAATATACTTCAAAGCTGAGCCAGTGTCTCCTGCTCCCACCAGCAGGGGTGGCACTGGGGACCTGGGTGGCACCAGCATGCCCAAAGCTGTGCCTCACCCTGTCCTCTCCTAATCCCTGCTGGAGAGCTCAGCCAACACAGCAAGAGGAGACCCAACAAACCCTATGCTGGTCAAGGGCGTCAGGGATGCTGATCCCAAAGCACCTTCCCTGCCCACAGACCAGGGACCCTCGCACGAGAGAGAGAGGCAAAACCACAAAACGTCCTCCCAGGGAGGCACCAAGGTGTCCCCACGTGGGGCAGAGGCTGCCACACCTCGTGACACAGGTGAAAGGAACACCTCACATGCCATGGAGAAAGGCAGCCAGCCAGCGTGCCTGGCTTTGGGCCAGATGCTTGGGACTCCCATCCCAAAGGCAGCCCTGGCAGTGCATGGTGGTTACTCCTTCTGGAGCATGGATGCTGCTGGATGGGACATCCAACACGTCTCCTGCTCCTTTGAGAGCTGCATCCCCTCGTTGCGCTCTCCTCGTTTCCCTCCCCCTTCCCTACACCCAAAAAATCAGGACTTGCTCCGGTGAGCTGTGACTAGACTGGATGTAGTGACGGATATCAAATGAAACTAAACGCAGGCAAATGATCACATCTGTGATTAATGATTAAGAAGCTGGAATGTCTACACCAGCTGCAGCCTGCCCAGCACTCACCAGCTGGGAACAGGCAAGAAGGATCACACAGGATCTGACCAATGAAGAGCCTTTGGCTCAAGGTCCCCAAAAAGGGATCAACCACCAACTTGGTGACCCTGAACAAAGCCCCCACTGCCTCCCCCTCATGCACAAGAGTCCTGTCTTGCGTGGATCAGTCACATGCCAGACAGGGTGATGCAAAGCAGTGGGAAGCCACAGTGGGTTATCATGTGTCCTAGTTGGTATTTGGGAGCTGCATCCTCTCCTGGCGAATGGTCCACGGCAATGGCAATCCCAGCTGCTTCCTCTTCTTGTGTGGGTGTTGGACAGCGTAAAGGTAGGACATGTACTGGAGCTCTGGAACGACCATTTTCTGGCAGGTTCTCAGAGTCCTGTCGTCCAAGTCTTGTTTGAGGTTGTACCCCAGGATATTTGCAGCCCCTGACTGGTAAGGCTGGAGAGCTTTGTTCCTGATGTGACCCTTCCCCACTGCCTCATGCTCCAAGAGACAGGTTTCCATGAGCTCCTTCTGTCTGGTTCGCAGGTGACCCACCTCCTTCTCCAGCACCTCCAGCCCTATGGTCTCCTCAATTCTCCTCCAGAAGCTCTGGTTGAAGTGCAGGTAGAGCTTCCAGTCCAACGAGCACCACGTTTTTATCCGCTCCTCACTTTCCGGGGTCAAGGTCTGGACAGTGTCTCGACTTCTGGAATTGAGCTTGAAGTAAATTACATCATCCATATCCCAGCATAAAGTGTGCTTCAAGAGGATCATGGACTCATCAAAGTAGTCTGCTATAAGGATGAGGTGGAAGTTCTGCTCGATCTCCTCCAGGACGGCCTGTGTATAGTTTGTGTTGTCCTCCGCGTTGTTGTCATAGCCAAAGTCAAACCACATGATATTCCTGGCGTAGGTGTTCTGCCCATAATCTGCAGGGTGGTAATACCGCGTGGGTGACGCCAGGTACTCGTTCACATCCTTGGAGTTCCTGAAGGCAGGTACGTAGTGCTTGTAGTAGATGTAGGAAGACTCCAGAAGAGAAATAGGGTTCCTCAGGATGGAGAAGTAGAAGGTGTTGGGTGGCATCACCTTTTGCACCTATTTGTGGGAGGAAGAAGAGGTTATTCCAGAGGCACTGCTGTCCCAGCCAGGTTTCTCCGCAGGTGTTGTGGCTCTTTCTTACCTCCAAGGGGTTAAACCGCATGTGGTTGCACATGATGTTGTAGTTTTGGCCTATGGTTTCAAAATCCTCCACAAAGTGGGCCATGAAATTCCTCGGGTAGCCCAGGTGGTACTGCTGGCCAGCAGGGAGGGCGACAGTGAGGTGGTGCCTCTCTGCAAACCTAAACATGATGTTGAGCACGGTGCTGCTGGCTGTCTTGTGGGTCTTGAGGAACATGACGTTTGTCTTGGCATGGCATGGCGTGGGAGAGGTCAGCAGTGGCTGTTTGAGGTTCTGCGGGAAGGTGACTGTTTGATCCTCATGGAGGTTTGAGATTCTGCAGGAAGGCGACAGATGGGGCAAGCAGCCTCTCCGGTGCTGTACCCCATCTCCAAGACCTGGCACAGCCAAACCCAGGGACTCCTCTGACACCACACCTCCGGCTGGTGCAAGTCTGCACTCAAACCAGCCCCATCCCTCCAATGTAGATGTCAAGAGTTTTCTCTTTCTCCTGGTTCTCACTTACCCAAAGGATTCAGCTCAATCCCCGTTTCTTTCCCTATCCAGCTGCTTCTGCCCTGAAGACCTGCACTGTGGCTGATTTGATCCCTTACCCACCCAAACAGGGACCTAGGACTAATTTTGGGGCCACTGCCCTTTCAGTATTAGCCTACATCTCGTGAGAGCTGAATGAGGTGTCACAGTTAGGTCCTGGCTGCCTGGGCACCCGAAGCTGTGCAGCCTTGCTTCTGCTTCACTTACCTGTAATCCTTCATATGGAAGAATCCTGACAGGAAGATAAGTCCCACTAAAAAGCTGAAAATGATGAGACACTTGATATTCCTGGAAAAAGAAGAAGAGTTTCAGTGGATTTTTATCTGATGGTCCTTCGCTGAACCACCAAACTTCACATCTTGCCCTTGGGAATTTTAATCCCTGGGAGCACAGTTTTAGGTCTCAGTGGTGGCAGCCACCTTTGGCACCCCCAGCTGTGTCAGCAGCTCTGGTGTTTGAGGCAAGTCAGTGAGAAATTGCATTTTCACTATTACTCTCCTAATTTTGGCAAGACACAGTGTGCTTCACACAGAGCCAAAGCTTTTCCAACAGCCTCCCACTCTGCTCTGCTGCTTTTTGTCTTGCATTTCTCTTGGTTTTCTGGGGCTTTAGAGCTTATTCACTATTCAAACTCCCAGATTATTCACTAGAAACCGAGCCCTTTGTAGGGCTATAAAGACTTTCCTGGTGAGAAACCTGAGCAGCTCCTGTAATGGTATCTCTCCAGAAGATGGGGATCACAAAGAAACACTAAATTGAGGTGGTTTTTTTTTTTCAATATAACTGAGATTTTTTCAAGTCAGAAAATCAATTAATAACCAAATAAGGTTTGGTTTGTAATGATTAATTACACCCCACTTTGAAATGGAAGTGCTGGATAACGATGAGGGGGATAATCTTTTCCAGCACTAATTAGGCAACCAACACATCAAGTGTATCGAAGTGTCCTTGCCCCTTGCAGGGGGTTGGAATGAGCCCAGTGGGTCTTTAGGGTCCCCTCCAATCAAAACCATCCTATGATACCACGATCATCACCAGCATCCCACTGGGACACAGAGAGGATCTTTTGAATGCACCAGATATGCAGCTTTAAGTTGTTTTGAGAAAATAACATCCCAATTTACAGAATGGTATGGTAGGACTTGCAGTTCCCACTCTCCCAAGGGAGCAAGCAAGGCTCCAAGCCTTTCTCCAGGAGCCCTTCTCAAAGCCAGGGAACACCATCAGCCATAGCTGGCACCAACCTCTGACAGGAATTTACAGCACAGCTTCTGGAGGAATAGTTTCAAGACATAGCTGCAGGCAAGATTTCATCAGGATTTCCTCAGTTTTGGTCCCAGGTTTGGGGGTGGGGGGGTGGGCAGGCAGTGTGGTGGTTTTCCCCCAGCTGGCCTGGGGGATCCTGGAAGAGTTATAGTCAAGTAGGAACTTTTGCACAAGGCAGAAATAAGCCCGGACTCGGAAGATGTAACAATACGGTTTTCCGGTAAAATATGCTGAGTCATAGTTGACTGACATGCGCAGTTAGCAGAGTTATATAATGTTATTAGCAGCCAATGGAGGTTATTTATGTAATTTGGGGACCAATAAAGAGTTAACATGTGTAGCCTAAAAGTGTATAAAAATAGCAAGCGGCGTGCAATAAAGGGTTCCAGCTCCTGGATCCACGAGGGTTCGTGTCGTTACTCCCGCCTCGACTGCGACAGGCAGGAGTGAGACAATCCCCTATCCTTGGAGATGGGATGGAAGAAGGAAGGCAGAGGGGCCCACAGGCAGCGAGCAAGCTCACATCTGCCACATGCAGCCCCTGGCAATCTTCTTGGTCTTCCATTTAAACCGAAAGATGTTGCTGGTGCAATAGTTTTCCACCACCCTGCCTGCCTGGAGGTCCTTCCTGAGCTGGTCTGGCGATGTCCTCCTTTTGCACCTTTTCTTAGGTGTAATCAGTGGTTCATTTATTTGTTTAGGTGGTGTCTCCAGAATGGCAACTCTGACTGATGTTTTATGGGGCAAACAAATCGCATACACCCAAAACCATCTTGAAGGCAGACTAGGATCACAATATGCTCTGGAAGGACTATCAGCCCCTCCTGCTGCAAGAAGACAGGCTCTATAAACCTCTGAGGGAGCCCCTGGTGGTCTAGAGGGTAAAGGCGCTGCACTGTCACTGCAGAGACCCGGGTTCAATTCCCGGTTGGGGCCACTCCCTGGGCAGATGGAGCTCGTTAGCCCTGTAAGGCAATCCATCTACGTCCTGAGGACCTTGCTGCCACTGTCCAAGCTCGCTTGGCCCCGGCAGATGAACCTCAGGATTAAAGGGTGGGCTCAGTTCCACGCACACTGTGTCTCACCTAAAAAATCCAATGCGCAGGCTGGAAGGTGGAAAGACCTTCCCCAGTTCTTCGTTCGCGAAGACTGGCCATTAATTAAACCTCTGCATCCGATCACCTCAAGGCATTCTACAGTATTCTAATAATTGTTTACTTAAACAAAGGATGGCAAAGTGCCTTCCTGCCTCCAAATCTCCAGACATGTTCAGCACAGCGAGCTTCTC